AGTTTGAGACGCGCAATTGGCTAAGATGCAAGAACTCGCACCTCGATTGGTCTGAAATCTTTGGTAGGAGTGAGGAGTAGGGAATGGGGATGGGAAGGGAATGAGGAGGGCGCTTAATGAAGGGGTGGAGGGGTAAGAAAATCTTTACGCTTTTCACTCACTCATGTTTCTGGGTATATGCATGACATCGTGGCAGAGCGGACTTGATACGTCGCCTCATGAAGTACCATAGTCGACTAGCGCCTGAGGAAGTGCCTTGCCACAATGCCTCCGCCCATTTTTTAACCATATATCTCCTTTCTCTTCTTCGGTTATTCAAAGGAGCATTGATAATTCTACTCTGAGTTATCGCAGCATTCACCAAGCAAGTACGGAATAAGTGCTTCTTCATTAAGAAAAATTTTTCTAGTCCGTTGGCCTAATCAAATACAGTTCAAGCGATTTCCAAATCTGTCAACTCCGCAATAAATGGCTTATAAGCCTCCTCGGCCACAAGAAACCTCCAGATTTTCGCGCCTGCAAAGAAAATACACCACGTCGGACACACAATGCTACATCTGTCTCCAGATGCAAGAGCGCAAACCCGATTTAAAACAAGAGGGCCTCGTGCAGACATGCCTTCTGTGCGATAACGAGTATTGCAAGAGACACAAGAGCCCCAGCGTGGACCAGACGTGCAACCTGAATCATGAGACATACTGCAGCAAGCAAGAACACCGGGAACGACATGATCCGGTCCGCATCTTTCGGAACATGGGGGAGAGGGAGAGGTGGATAGCGGAGAATGGTGACATTGATGTTGTTACACATGAGGAGAGGTCAGACTGATTGTAATCCGAGGTGGATGGGAAGGTTTTGTGTAGGGATCAAAAGACTTAATTTAGTCATTAAGAGTATCTAAGGATAGATCGTTCGAAGATAAGCCGAGTCATTAAACCTGATGCATCAGTGAGTTATTATAGTCAGATTATAATTCTCGGAGATCATAAGTAACAAGATGCGGTTCGAAAAAAAGTTTAACAGTTACATATTATACTTCTTAGATCATTCTCATATTACCTAATCGAATTCTCTTTCCGAATAAATAAGCTTTTATACCATTGTAAACACAGAAGCTACTATCATAATCAATTCGCGATAGACTAGATTGTCATGGGGTAGAACCCATGGAGACCTGGGCCACAGCCTCAGGTCAACACGTGATGTCTTGGTGCGGCGTCACGTGATAGTGGGCATGTCACCAGGAATGTCCTCAGGGGCTAGGGGCACGGCTCAGGAGGAAAGATAGGGGCATGGAGACGGGTACAAATAACCTGTACTTCCCCCTTGTATCATGGAACTCCCAAGTTTCGTCTCCTTGTCTATAGGTAGCCAATCAAGAGCTTTTGCCTTCATTCGCGATCCCTCACATAGATCTCTAAACCAGGCGTGTTATATGTTCTAGAAAATTCTTCAGAGGAATATATAACATCATTATAATAACTCACTTTTTCTGTCTATTACATCTAAACTATATAATATCTAGTTTTCTAAAGAATCTAAGCAAAGGATTGCTGCTCAAACCTTGACATGTCATGACTCTGTTCTCAAAGAAGTTTTGATGTTCCTCTTGCTAAGGCTGCAGCAAGATATTATGCTAAATCACGGGAACGCTATTCTTAATAAGGAAGTATGCTTATTTAGTGACATAGGAGATCAAGTTAGTTCACAGAGGCGAACAGCAACATAAAACATGCCTGCAAACATATGAAACGTGTGCGAATTGCTATTTTTACAAGTAACTAGCCACTGGTACTTTGGATTTGCTCAGCTATAATCTCATGAAGAAATGGGCTTCCATCCTGCCCCGCGTGGAGGCATGCCACGTATTTAAGGCAAGGCGTCAATTACGTGGCACGGTTAGGGCCAATGGCTGGGGTTTTGGTGGCTGGGGCCTCCGGGCCATGCGAAGCTGTGGCCAGCATCAGCTGCGATTCTCCGTCAAAAGACGCCCATGAAACTGTTTGTTACCTCTTCTAACTCCATTGAGATTCGGGTGGAGTATATCTCCATACGATGTGGCTCATCAACACGACGACCTTAGAACTTGAGAGCTTTCAAGAATGTCCCACGAATACATACGCCATCCTCTCGCATACCTGGGGCCTCCAAGCTGAAGAACCAAATTTCGACGAGTTCAAGCAGGGCCAAGGCCGCCAGAAAATCGGGTTTCAAAAGGTTCAGAAGTGCTGTGAACAAGCTCTGAAGGATGGCTTGCAATATGCTTGGGCTGATACATGCTGTATCGATAAGCGGAGCAGTTCTGAATTGTCTGAGGCCATCAACTCCATATTCAGCTGGTATGCTCGTGCAAAGATATGCTATGTCTACTTAGCCAATGTGCGTCATGAAGATTGGCTGGATTCAGGAACCCAAAGCTTTTCTCATAGCAGGTGGTTTACACGAGGATAGACCTTGCAGGAACTTATAGCGTCTCCGGCTGTTTTCTTCTCTACCGAGGACTGGACATAGATTGGGGACAAGTTAGGTCTTGCTCATGATCTGAATACTATTACTGGGGTCGATCATCGTGTTCTTACGTCAGGCAAAAGTTATCTAGATTGCTTAGTAGCTCAAAGAATGTCCTAGGCTTCAAGACGACAAACAACCAGACTTGAGGATAACGCATACTGTCTTATTGGTCTTTTTAATGTCAACATACCGCTTCTGTACGGAGAGAGTTCTAAGGCCTTTTGGCGGCTAGAGCAAGAAATTATCAAGCAGACAGCCGATAAAACAATCTTTGCATGAACCGGCGTAGCGGAGGGCGGTAGTGGACTTCTGGCGCCCAGCCCGGCGAACTTCATCAATTCTGCATGCATCCAGCAAGACAAGAAATATGGCAGACGGCCGCCATACCAAGCCACAAATCGCGGCCTGTCTATAGAGTTCCAGATGCTTCCATTTGAGATGAACACATATGTGGTTCCTTTGAGATGCAAGCAGGGACCGGACAGCTCAAAATCCCGACCAATCGTGATATTTCTCTGCAGAACCTCAGAAGATCAGCAATATCAGCGAGTATCATTTCAGGACAAGTGCATAGACGAAGCGGCCGGCTGGGACATTTCAAAGGCGATAACAGAGAGAATCTTTGTGCCTGACGAGGGCCATACATTAGAACTCTCGCTGCACGCTGGTCTACCACTTGTCTGTGTTGAGTCAAACTTGGAGGCTTGGCAATTCCCAAGAATTGGGTCTGGAGCCCACCCGTCTTCACGGGTTGACTCGGTTTCTAGGGTAGCCGCAGACCTCGAAGGTGGTGGAATCCAGCTCGAAGAGACGGGAATATCCAGCTCTGAAACCTCTGGGTGGATGCCAAAGAAAGTCACCGAAGTCTCTTTCCAGTCTCAGTGTCAAGATCTTGAGAAAGGGATTGTAATTGCACTCAGAAGACCGGCTGCGGGTGAGAACAACTTTAGCTATCATCTGCAAATTGGTTTTGATTTTGACTTTAAACCCATCTGTATCTTGCGTCTTGGGCAATTTCGATTACCATTAAGACCCGGGTTTTGGGGCAAGAATTTTTCGCAAGTGTGGAGACTGCCTTTGCGGGAATCATTTTGGCGCAGAGAAGTTGGCAAAAGTGATAAGTATAAAACCGACGATGGCTTTCTTTCCCTCGATGATAGAGAGAAGCTCTACCATGCAGGAGTAGGAGTATGGCCTCCAGCCGTACAATGGTCTGCTTTTCGCATACGTGATATGTCTGATTTACTGCCACACCATGGAAATCGATACTGGCGGAGTGTCCGAGGGAACAGAATCACTGGACTTAGGATACGCATCAATGACATGCTACCACGAGACATGGCTGTAGGACACTCAACCTCAGCTTTCGTCACCTCCATGGCTTGAACTGGCAATTGAAAATTCAAGAGAAGCATCTGCATCCGGCATCATCTCGTGATGGAGCTTTCTGTTTTAGGCGACTTTTCATCCGTGGTAGGAAGATTGGGGTGTTTCTCGTAAAAGTGGTGGCGATTCTGCTTCGGTATAAGTTGTTTGCGCTATTTTTGTTCTTGGTGCCCTTCATGATTGGACCTTGGACCCAGAATCTGCTCCACATCGGCTTTTCTGAGGCTGTTGGATTTACTTTGTTCATTATCCTTACACCGGCAATCTTTAGTCTCATTGTTTCATCATTTCTCACTGAGAATAGTTTGTGGAGGGGTTGCAAATTTGGTTTTGATAATCATACTTATCATCTCACTAAATGTTCCGATGCATGTTCCTGTTCATAGTAACACCGAATAAAATCCATCCATTTCAAGCGCTCAAATAAAGTACACGCATTTACTGTGCTATGGCTCGTCTATTCTACCAGTTCGGCGCTGAACAAATGTTATGCACACACTGACAGCATGTGGTCATGAAGAACAAGCCTTGTGGGGCAATCAAGACCCGGACACAAGGCCAGGCAAATCGGTTGTACTCAGCCTTTGGCAAAAATAATCAGCAAGGGCTGCGAGGAATCCAAAAATTTGTATGGGCCCTAAGCCTGTAACAATCCGCCATAAAAGCACGCAAGCCACCACCATAATTAACTCGTGATGGACTGGATCTCCCAACCAGGCTTGCTCCATGTTCTACAAGATTCTTGGGGGGAAGGTATGGCATCGTTGTGATGGCTCAATTTTCCTGTCCGTTACGCCTGGGCTGTGCAACATCTGGTTTCCACAAAATCGATTATCTGATGAAGCTTGAGCATATATGAATGCTACAGAGCTTCCAAGGAGAAACGAATCGAGAGAAACAATTGCTGGATTTCCTTCTTCCTCAGCGATCGCTCAAGGTATATCTAGTGATACATCTAACAATGTTGGTAATCAAATGGTTCCCGCATTGCGAATCGTGCCCAGCCACCCAGACAGCTCCTGTTCATCATACAACATACTCCATTGCCGCTCCATGACCCAGGCATAACAATCATACCAACAACACCAGTTCACATCAAGACATCATCGTCGATCCGAGCTACCATTGGGCACAAACCCCGGCTCATCATCCGCCGCCTCAACTCTTACCAAGATTTCTTCAAGAAACCCTTCTAGGAAATCGTTCACTTCTCCACCCATACCAACTGGCGTCTCTTGGTCCCACTTTTGTATCTCGCTGAAAACGCCAGCTGCTTTCATGACCAGTTTCCGAATTCTATCGTGACCTTGATGGCATCTTTGTTGCACTTCAGCAGCAGCTTGTGTTGCTGGCTTGCTCTTTGATAATTCTTTGAGCATGTGGCTCCTCCGATGTAAGGCCGCCTCGAGGGCGGGGATCATCACAGAGCTGAGTGCTGTCAGCTCGTGACCAGGTGCTTGGCCTTGAACATAGTTGGAATTCTCGGAGTCTGAAGGTTTTCGTGGTTGACTTTGTGGCACATTGAGCGGAGGAAGTGGTTGTTGACCTGGAGGTGGAAGCGGCTTCTGTATAGTAGGAGATGAGACGCTTGTGGGGATTGAGGGTAATGGCTGTCCACCACTTGGTCTGGCTTGGGTGGATTGTGGAGGGATGCTCTGTAACGGCGGACCGCGCGCAGGGTTACCTTTAAATGGAGGGATATCAGGGATCTGCATTGCCTGTACCTTCTTCCCCGGTTCGTCTTTAGCAACTGGTTGCGGACCAGTGGAAGACGTCCCCAAAGGTGAGCCACCGAGTTTCAGAAAACCCATGTCTTGAGCCAATTGTGCTTGGAAGGCTTTGTTGTACTCATTCGACCCTGGACTCTCACTGTGTTTCTTCGGCTGAGGCTTTGCGAGATTGGCCGCAGGAGTTTTCGGTATAGGTGCAGGGGGATGGTCTTGTTTGATGGGCGATGGGGGCAAGGGTACTTTGGTGGGTGACTTTGGTAGTGCTGATGTAGGAAGCGAGCCCTTAGCCGAGGATTTGGTAGGCGAAGATGGTGCCTTTACAGTGTCCATACCGTCGAATCTGTGTTTGACGCTCTCCTCCGATGCGCGACTGGAATCAACTGAGGCCCGGGCATTTGTGGCTGCATCGCTCATTGGTCTCAAGCCGCCGGATCTGCCTCCAGCTGGCCGGACTGTACCAAAGTCCCATAGATCTTCCTCCTCTTGACTGGGTCGTGGCGGCGGCTCCCTCTCATATTCGTCTTCATCTTCTGACGACCGGTTTGCATGTGTAGCGTGCCATCTCTCATGCCTTTCGATCAGCTCTGTGAGATATGTCGTTTTCTTCGCCTTGCGGATGAATGGATGCTTCAGGAGCTCTTTTGCTGAAGGCCGCTCACGAGGATCTCGTCTCAAGCACAGCTCGACGAAGTCCTTGAAAGGCCTGCTAAAATTCCCATCGAGGACCGGTGGTGGGTTCTTCGGTATCAGGAATAGCACCTTCATTGGATGTATATCTGAATAGGGTGGCTCGCCTTTAGCCAGCTCGATAGCAGTGATGCCAAGGGACCATATGTCGGCTTTGTGGTCATATCCTGATTGCTTAATAACCTCTGGTGCCATCCAAAATGGTGTCCCGACAAATGTGTTCTTCTTTGTCATGGTTGCCGAGAGCTGACCTGACACACCGAAATCTGCGAGCTTGACTTGCCCATTCGCAGCCAATAGTACGTTTGCCGCTGGCAGTGGTTAGTCGCTGGTATGTAAATAGAGATCTACTCGAACCTTTGATATCTCGATGAAGTTTTTTGTCTCCATGCAGATACTCCAGTCCCATCAGCAATTCCCGTATGATGATGCAGATGTAGTCCTCTGGTATCAACCCAGGACGCATCAGGTCTGAGCAGCTGCCCCCAGAGCAGAACTCCATGATGATCCATAAGTCAGAGCCTTTTAGGAATGACCCGTGATACTTCGTAACATAAGGGGAGTGTAGCTCGGAGAGAATTGAGATTTCTTGAATGATATCCTCGACTTCGTCCTCGGCATTCTCGACGTCGATGATTTTGATTGCGACTGACTGGCCAGTCCTTTTATCAACGCTGTTGATGGGACGTCAGCAACACATCCAGGGATCTGACTAGAGCTGAGGCTTGCCCCTTGTACACCTTGCCAAAACTCCCTCCTCCTGTGCTCTTTGTCAACACAACTAAGACCGTGCGAGGTGTGACACTTCTTACCAATGCAGTTCTGCTTGGTATAAAATGTTTCTGGATCCATAGTGGGAATTAGGACAGGATGAAACGAGCTGAGATCAGCCGAGAGGGAGGAGGGTAGATTGAGAAGACTTTAAGTTGGGCTGATTGTATGGTTAACGTCGAGAAAGATCCTAGACAGCCGCAGAATCACACAAGGATTGACTTCAGCCAGCTAGTTTTGTGCTCAACTGTCGTGTGAGGGTCTTTGCATTGATTGATTCCTGCGTTTGTGCTAGGAAGGGTCAGAAGCCCTTGCCGAACAGTTAGCGGATATCCTCCCACAGGCAAAGAAAGAAGGTACAGCTTTGGTATCCAGATATCGATATACTAGGTCTCAGCGCAGGAGGGGTTTCGGATTTCTGAAGCTTGCTGGGCGGGTGATCAAGTTGCAAGTACTCCGTACCATGCAGTGCTATACAGGAACCATACAGTAGGTCAAAGTGGATGGAGTAAGCAGTAGTCTAACACCTACAAAGGTTTAGGTATGACGACGAAATTCAGTGGACTTCGCGGAACGACCTGGAGATGCTTGCGCCATTATTGTTTCATTGCTTGGGCTCCATCTATGCAATTTAAGCCTCGGTGTGTTTTAGCCTATCAGATCCAATTCAACCGACGCGTCTGAAACGCGTCCGCACGTGCTGGTGGACTTGGATGACCACCACCAACAATGGAAATATATCACATCAGTAATACACGGAGCAAACAAAAGGTAGATAGCCGGTTTTGAATCATGTTGCGTCTGCTTCCAAATGTTGAACTTCCTGTATGCGCAACCCTGATCCACGGTCAGGGTATGGCAGCTTCTGTATCATGTAAGGACAATAAAGAAGCGCTATCTGATCAAGCCCCAATAGTGCTGCATTCACCAGCTGCTGTCCATTCGCTTGAAACAGGCCCGTTTGGCGAAAAAGGTGTATAACCCAGAGAGCGTATCTGATGCCTTCTTCTATCAACGCCCTGAAATGCTATGCAAAGCCAGGCTGCCGCATTATGCTTCCAAGAACTCAATCATGACTGTTCCATTCTTCAACCCCGCCTGCTCAATCGTTTGATCTGCCAGATCCATCAGGTTCTTGCCCATCGACACCAGCTCAAAAGCTACACCTTCTTTCCCCTCCAACGGCTCCGATTTGAGCCATTCGAAAATTCTCCTCACTAAATCCGAAGTCGCAAAGCGACGGATTATTCGACCTGCCGGGTGTCGAAACTGTATTCTTGTCACGTCATTGCCCGCAGCGGGTTCTTGGTGTGGACAATCTGATGGTATTAGACTAAAAGGTGAAGGTGTTGACGATGTGTCGTCTCCATTTTCGACAACTGTCATACTGGCGGCATTCTGCTTCACAGATTTTCCTTTCCCATCCATATCTCCAACACTTCTCGTCAGTTCATCCGGATCCTCGAGTACGGTTTTCGTAGCGTTCTCTGGCTGCGCAGCCAGACTGGCTTGCATGGCTCTCTCTAGCTGCTCCTCTTCAGTCATTTGATCAACGCTTTTTGGCTTTTGCGCCTCTGACTTCCGCTTAGCCACTGGGTTTCGTGCATGACTGCTCAAACTGTAGCGATCCAGAAATTCATGTAGCTGCATGAGGAAGTCGCCCGCCTTGGGAACTTCTGCAGACCACACTTTTACCTGTTCACCAGTCCGTGGGTCAACTATGGCAATATGGGGATACAGATCTGGATTCGAATGATCCTGAAAGTAGTACTGGAGGTACTGGTCGGCTCGGATGTCGTCTTTGCTGTACTGGAGAAATAGAAAGTTCTCTCTGATTGTATCCACGACACTGGGGTTCTTCCACAAGTCTCGATTCAGAACTTGGCAATCGAAGACCGATCCATCCTGAATATTAACCAGCAGCCATTTGAGCTCTTCACGACCCTCCTCTCGAGCGCTATCCCAACCGCCTTTGTACATCAGATCCCATGGAGGCTGAAACATCTTGGCCAACATGTTTGACCGGGAAGATGATTCGGAAGCGCCGCCAGTGGATTCTGCTAAAATATCTGGCTCAACCACAGCATCATCTCGATCGGTCCATATGGAAGCCGCGGGTCTCTGATTGAATATGCCTGGTTGCGCTGGAAAAGGTCAGAGCGGGCGACTAGGTTTGAAAGAGTGGTACCTACCTTGATTACCTCGTCTATTCTGCATTCGGCGCATTTGTTGCATAACATGGGCTGGTATGTCACGTTCGTCCAGAGGGCCGGCATCTGCTCCAGGGCCGAGAAGTGTCTCAGATTGCCGAGCGATGGGTGCCCGAATTTCCTCTTCACCTCCTGGCCCTTGCCCACCTCCTCCACCGTACATTTCTTCTTGTAACCGTCGTGCATATTCGGCATCAGCGTCGAAAGTTGATCCTCTTGTTTGTGGCAGGGCTGATCCCTCCGATCCACCGACCTTACGAAAGCCTGTAATCTGTGGGTCATTGTCGTCTGAAACGGTGCCGTCATCAATATCTATGGGGTCTTGTGCATTGCCTGTGCCGCCAGGCCTCGAGGAAGCCGGTGGTGGTGGAGGTGGAGCACTATATGATGATGGATCTCCTGATGGATCAGCGCCATTACTTTCGAAATATAGCATAATTGCAGAACCGGGGTCTCCATCGGCAAGTTGAAGATATTGTGCCGCCCGTTCGGGTGAGGCAGACGTAACTGTCACGATCTGAGCAATCGCCGCGTCCATTTTGGCACAACGGTAGCAGTCTCTGAAGAGCCTAGACGTGGAGTGAGGTCAAGGTGAGGTAATGGGGACTTAGGAATCGATCTCCTGGTCAGTAGGTTGATTTTGGCGTGATGACAATCCTGGGTTCGTAGCTTTCCTCCCGCAAACAACAACCTAGAACCCCTTTAAGCAGCTTCGCTTGTATGTTTGCCCAGTTCGTTGCAAATTGTATGTCATAGCCGTTGCTGAGACGGGTGTTTAATGTAGTTATGTGCGGGAAGTCAGAAATCGAAATGTTTGTGATGGCGGGCGAGAAGGCAGCCGCAGGTGACGATAGCTTGCATAAGTTTTGCGTAAAAGGCTGCGGCGGTCACCATAGTTAAACGCCATCCTAGCCGGTCGGGAAATGGAAAGTTGGGCTAACTTAGCCGCCGGTAGACCGCTAACTAGTACTAGTGTTATCGGCATTTGACTCAAATGCCAAGCCCAGCCATCCACTTTACGCGACTAGGACGCGTCGTTTGTCATTTGAATCTCTTCTGGCAGGAACCCCCACGTCCACCTCCTCCTCATTGCTACTTCCACACACGCACCACCCCAACTCGCAAAAGCAGCAACGACCCTATCGAATTCGATGGCTGCTTCTGTCCTGGGCAAGAGACAAAGATCTAGCATAGAAGCTGAAGGTGCCATCATCTTTCCTTCTTGTGTCATCGCCTGTGGCTAACTCGACTCCCTGATGCAGAACCCTTCTTGATTCATACGCGCAGAAGACGAGCTCGTATCTCAACACCAGATATACATGTTGAGGATGGGATATCTTCCATTCCGCAAAGTTCTCAATATGTCCAGCCCTGCGAATTGAAAACCCCACTGCAAAGCACCAAAGCCATTTCCAAGGCTTGTACCGTAACGTCAAAACGTACAGTCCCAAACAAACATCCACTTCCGTCCCAATCATTAGAAGGTGCATTTCCAAGTCCATCTACAGACTCGAATGGTACGTAAGGTGTCGAATGCGCAGTACTATGATCTAGCTAAATGTTTTATAGATGAAAATGTGCCACCAGTTGAGTTCAGGACACCGTCTACCACAAGATTCAAAGATGCATTGGCACCTCTCACACCAAAGCATCGTGTCAAGCTTCCCGGCAAGCCTTTGACTCCTCGAACTCCACGGACATGTTCGACACCAAGCTCCACATGCGCGACAATTTATTCGGATGCACGCCAGTTGTTTGCGCAAAATGGCAGCCCCTCCAAACTCATTGGTAGAGATGCGGAAAGGAGGGAGCTTGCCTCATTCATAACTCATGCTGTCGATACTCACTCCGGAGGCAGTATCTACGTCAGTGGCCCACCTGGTACTGGAAAAAGTGCCTTGATAGAAGAGATAACCAATGAACTCTCTACGACACCAAGCCTCAAGTGCTCCGTTGTCAACTGCGTGAGCATCAAGTCCTCGAAGGACATGCAGCGCAAGATCATCTCTGATCTGCTTCCTGAGGGGCTACGAAGCACAAAACCCGAGCAATCGACTCTGTCCCATTTATTCCTACCTAAAAGGAAAAGCATGTCGCAATCGTTTCTCGTTGTTCTCGATGAAGTAGACAACCTTCTTTCCGTTGACTGCGAATTGCTCTATACACTATTTGAGTGGGCTTTACATAGGTCATCGTGTCTGATCCTGATCGGAATCGCCAATGCTCTCGACCTTACAGATCGCTTCCTTCCCCGATTGAAAGCTAGAAACCTCAAACCTCGACTTCTCCCTTTCATGCCATATACAGCGCCGCAGATTGTTTCTATCATTACCGAAAAGCTTCGATCTACCCTTCCAGCAGATTGCTCGAGGGGGGTGGATTATGTTCCGTTCTTACAGCCAGCTGCCATCCAACTTTGCAGCAAGAAGGTGGCATCTCAAACAGGAGACCTTCGAAAGGTCTTCAATCTGGTCCGACGAGCAATTGACTGCATCGAACGCGAGACGGTTGAGAAACATTCTGCGTTTGATCTGTCAACATCCAAGCAGCCCCTTCTGGATATTACGAACAATTCCCCCACAAAGCTACCACTCTCGCCACCCTCTTCATCTCCTCTCAAGCCTTCGTCCTCTCCTCCGGTCTCAGGTACGGTGCGGCTGAATGTCGCCGGTTTGACAGCTGAGAGTGCGCCGCGTGCGACCGTAGCCCACATAGCGCGTCTCACAACCGCTGTCTTCAACAATGATGCAGTCTCCAGATTGGGGGGGCTAAACCTTCAGCAAAAGGCAATTCTCTGCTCACTGGTCGCAGCAGAGAGGAAGCGAAATGAGCGCGATCCATTCAGCACTCCGTCGAAGAACGCGAACAGAAAGCCAATGCTCAAAGACCTGTTTGAATTGTATGCTGGAGTTTGCAAAAGAGATAACGTGCTTTGTCCTTTATCTTCTACAGAATTTCGAGATGTTGTTGCGAGCCTTGAGACCTTTGGCCTCGTACAGGAAGCAACTGGCCGAGCAAGTTTCCTTACGCCAACTAAGACTCCGTCCAGACTGGGCAGGAAGAACATCGAGGAGAAACAGTTTGCCAGTATAGTATCGGAGAAAGAGCTGGAGGACAACTTGCAAGGACCAGGAACAGAGATTCTCAAGAGACTATTACGTGGAGCTTGCCTTTGATATAATGCTGGAGTGAAGCACTAAAGACCCTTGTACTGTGTTACATTTTCGCTCGGTACTGTTGGATCTTCTCATGTTGATCAGTTGGAAATGATTAGCAGTGTGATGGGATAGGCTCGTGGGGCGTTTGCTTGTAGCATTCAAGCTGAATTGTATAATCCTTTGTTGAAACCACGAGCCTTTCTCTGTCAGAATTCAAATCACAGCTTGACCATCTTTGAACACATACAAGGAGAGGAGGATACTAGTAGCGGTGCGGTCCTACTCAACTAGTTAGTACTCGCAGTCCCTTTCTTGGCATGTTTGAAAGATTGACCGAAAGGGGCTGCATAGCTAAATATTCCGAAGGGGGAACGCGTAAATCGACTTATGCCAAATGCGGCTACGGTTATTCTTGCCGCTCAAGCTTCAATACTTGGCAAGCTAGGAGTACGTAGTAACTTATTACTAGTAGCAGATGGCTCAACTGTAATATGCTGTACGTATCAAATCTCAAACCATTTCATCCGCTTGGTTCACCAGCAGCTGTTGTACTTCTGTTGCAATGGGATGGCTTAAACAATGCTGGATAGAAGGCTCTCTATTGAAGCAATAAAGTACTCCGTAGTAGGGGAAGTAAATGCTATGTGCTTGGCCTTCTTACCTTCAAGAACTTCTCCAAACTTGTCCTCTTCATCTTACCATAGCTCCTGGCTAACCTTTTTTCCCTCACGTACAACGCCATTCCACCTTCAAGCTGATCGGCGCCGAGTGGAATAATTTCGCAAAACCCCCTATCCAACTCAGAGCCACGGACCCGACCGGACAACAACGCTCAACGCATTATCTAGTCCACATACCGATGTGTGGTTCCATTATCTACACTTTCCGCAAGACTTTAATGGTGGATGTCTCAATTCCCCTTCTTTCCTCGTGAGTGTCGTCTTCAATAGTTCTGATAGCCTTGAAGCTAGCGCAAAGCCAAACTCGGTTGTAGGGGGAACGACGTCTCTAGCAGGTTTGACATTCAAGAATACCATTCTGTAACTGACAGTACGACAAGTCTGTGCAGGCTATTCTAGCCTTGCGATCATTTGCACGGTTATGCTAGGCGTGAATATGATTGTTATTAACATTGCTTTTGGCCTCCATTGATATGAGCCAGACATTCCGCTTGTCGGTAGTTGTAGTGCAGCCATTGCAGCTACATTTCATCTCCAAATATCGAGCCAAAAGATCTGGCTGAGTCGCCGCTGAAATGGGGGTCGCGTCGGCTACAAAGGATGGGATCGCTCACCGCGCACTGTCGAGTCCATGGGTCCAATCGCCAGTAAAAGGGCAGCTGTGCGCCTCGTTAATCAGCTCAGAACAGAAGTAAATGACGGCAAGCACAAGAAGAGCGGAACACTCCCTCTTCGAGCCAGCCCCGTTGGAGAAAAAGCAGGGCTCAGCGTTCCAGGACGCGGTGGTATGATCATAGGTAGCATAAACATGTACATTCGCCTTTGAAAGGTCTAGGAAAGTGTGTGGATAGAAGGGGAAGAGAGGTAGGTCATGATACCTAATTTTGACGTTCCTTTCACTCCCGAGTAATCTAAATCATCATAAATGTGGAGTCAAAAAGATTACATGCGCCACAGAACCCTTGGATTTTGAAATATGGGTTTGATGTGGCTTGACCCTAGTTACTTCGTCAGCCCCAGCATTGCAGAGGGAGCAAACTGTTGAAAAGTCCCCATATGCTTCATAGTGAAAGCACCACGCTCGCTTCCACGATCATTTTCCTTGGGCGGCTTATACGGCGGTCGTATTTTCAAATCATTTGACCAGAATCCGAGGCTCCTCTGTTCTAATCTATTTCGGCGAAAGGCACCCGTCTCCCTACCAAATCCAGACAATCCGCCCCTTCAACGTCAAGCCAGAGGATACGGTGTCTCCTACAAGAAGCACCATCTACGGTCATCGAGATGCCGGGCTTCACAGACTCTTTCTGGTCAACTGACTATGCTGGTGGCCTGGGCGTACTGTTTTCGAAATTGCAGCAAGGTGTCACTGAGAACCAGCAGGTATTAACAATAGCAACCTTGCGTGCCGATGCGGAGGAGATGTACAGCGAGAGACTTGGTGATATTGCGCCTACAATTGACCGTATGAGTGGTGGCTTTACTCGCGACGATGGCGCAAGCGTGCGAAAGGCATGTTTGTGACGGTGCCCTGTTGAAATCGTACTAATTTACCTCGCAGGCGTATGAGGGTGTCCGCGCCGAGATGGTTGAGGCGACGAAGAACCACCAGAAGATCGCGTCTAATATCCGTGAATTAGTCGTTACTCCCTTCTCGCGCTGGTGCGACGCGCATGCTATTCGCATCCAAAATTCCCAGGATGAATTGCAGTCGAAAACCAAAGCACATGATCGGCAAGCTGAACTAGTCAAGAAGCTCCGTAGTCAATACTTCAACAAGTGTCGTTTAGTGGAAGATCTTGAGGAAGAGAATAAACTGGCATTTCAAGACCCTGAGAAAGAGCAGCCAGCACAGAGCAGTCCGAAGCCGCAAAGCCCGCCAAAACTGGTGCTACCAGCCGATGATTCGGAAGATGAGCCAATCGAGATCGGGGATGAGCTATACTACCCAGAGCAGGTTAAGAAATTGTTGAGGCACATGCTGGAAACAATCAGAATAGGAGAGACCAAGGTGCCAGTGCTTGGTATCTATCAGAATACTTCAGTGGGGGCGGACATAGTAGAGTATATTCAAAGGGATATGAAAGCTACCAGTGTGAGCTATGCGGAGAGGATTGGTCAAGATTTGGTGAATGCAGGCTACTTGAGATTGGTCGGAAATGTGGGAAGCACATTTGCAAACAGCTCTAAAATGAATTATCAATGGCGACCGAAGGCATGGCAAGTGGCTGGTTTGCCCGAGAGGAAGAAGGCTACGAACCGAGTTGGCTCTATGGCACCACGAAGTGGCACAAGTTCATCTCAGGATGGGGGCCTGGACTCACCTGGGGTCGGATCAATAACTGAGACTCTGCAAACCTGGAATCCGCTCAACAACCCTCATCCTAATGAGACCCCAGCTGAGAAGCTAAGAAGAGAATCCAAAGAAGCGGATGAGAAATACAAAGCTGGAGTCAAACGACTTGATCTGCTTCGATGCAACTTGGAGGAGTCGATGATGGATCACCTGAAATTCCTCGAGCGATGCGAACTGGACAGGCTAAAAGCCATTCGGTCTGTCATCCTTGACTTCTCGGGTGCTATCAGCAACGTGATTCCTGCTTTGCAGAGTCAGGTCGATAACATGATGCTCTATCAGGAGACGATTCAACCCCTCGGTGATCTCCGCTACATGCTGGAGAATTATCGAACCGGAGGCTATGCACCAAAAGTTGTGCCATATGAGAACTATTACGGTAGTGTCGAGGACCAGACCTTCGGAGTCGACCTCGAGGCACGAGCCAGAGCTGATCGAAAGCGCGTCCCACTTATCATCACCACCCTTCTAACCTATCTAGACAATCACTACCCTGACCTCGAAGGCGACGAGGCAAGAAGAGTCATATGGCTGGTTGATGTGCCCTTGGCTGCCACACATCATCTACGCAATGCCATCAACAACGGCAAAGCTATTCCCAAAGAAGTCCTTGAACGATATGAAATACCCATTGTTGCGAGCGTTTTAAAACTGTATCTCCTTGAATTACCTGGTGAGCTGGACTGGGCATGCGACATGGTTCATAATCTCTGACTACTGCCAGATTCTCTTGTTTCGTCTCAGGTTTATGAAATTATCAAAACCATCTACGCCACTACCACTGATGCTACACCTAATCCTATTTCTACCGAAGCTCCTGACTCTGCCCCGCGGATCAAGGTTCTTCAGTCTACACTTGGCCAGCTTCGGCTGAACAACATTGCTACCCTCGACGCTATTACAACACATTTTACACGGCTTATCGATCTCACGTCTGCTGACGAAACCTATATCACTAATCTTGCGCAGACACTGGCTCCTTGTATTCTTCGCCCACGCGTCGAAAACGCTCTTACAATGAATGAGCGTCACGCTTACCGCCTCATCCGCGACCTTTTCGATCATAAGGAGGCCATTTTTGGAGAATTGAAGCGGCAGTCGTCTTCGCTCGGCGGCCTCGGCGGGCCAGCTGCTGTTGGGGCAAATGCTCGACCACGAGCGCTCTCATCAACCGACGAAAGCAACCGTCGAGCTGCCATGGAGGCAAGACAAAAAGCAATCTTAGAACAGCGCTCTAGAGACAGGTCACCAGCACCGGCGAATCGACATCGGAGAGATAAGAGTACAGATGGAAGCTTGGGCAGATTTCCAGTTGTGGCAAGTCAGCAAATTGGAGCAACAAGCAAACCGAATGTTGGTGGTCAAGCGGGTGGGAATAGATATAGCCTGGAAGTTCCAGGCAGTCAGGATAGCAGTCCAGTGGTGGAGAAAACAGCGAAGCCTCTACCAAGTCAGCTTCCCAACATATCTTCTCAACACAACGATATCGCGACGACCATGAACGGCGCAGCGAACATGCCGGATGCATTTTTTCAGCCTCCTACACCTCCAGAGAAGGATGCTAGGATCCCAGCGGCTGTACCCACAGCAGTAGAAGCAGACGTAGAGAAGAAGAATAGCTTGAAGAGGAGTACGGTAGGAAGTGGTGGAAGAGCAAGGCACAGAGGTGGAGCTGGTTCAGCCAGCACATCGAGCATGATGTCAAGGGGCAAAGGAAGCCTGTCGGACAGGCATGTTGTGGACAGACAGATCACCAGCAGTGCACAGGGGGTGACATTGGAGGATAGGCCAATGGATGACTGAGGGAGCAGTTCAATGTCAGTATCGTAGCCAACCTTCTACCTGTGATTCCAGATATGAGATCAAGTCCAGCCATAAGGTTAGAATTCCCCTTTTGGCTTAACTGGATTACCACATACCAAAAGGAGCTCATGCCCTCAGTTGGTCAGCTCTCTTGGGCAAGCAAGGAACATACTTATGTGGAGATTGGAGGGCTCTGAAAATGACGTGTTATTGGTCCTTAAAATATTAGCAGATGTTTTGCCATTCCAAGAATCGTCAAAGGGCGATCGCGTGATCATAATCTGACCGTCATATGGCCATAACTTTGGGGGTGAAATGTCCAAAATAACAATAGAAATACGGAGTACATAGCTCAGACATCGAAGATCTAATGAAACAATGTAAGTTAGACCGTACCATGGTTACTGTGTGACGCTCTGACAAGTTTCGGGAATTCTATTAATGTATTCCTCAGCAAAGGCGCTACAACTTCAACTTGTGTCCGAAATGCTTTTCACATAACGAGGCTTTAGGCTCCGCAGCAAGGCTCGACTTCTTGCCTGCCAACACGATGCTGATTTGTCCCAATTGATTCTCTTTTCTCTTGCTCCTTCTAGATTACTATCCATAACTCGGCGCTAGTAGTGACTATTAAGTTCTAATACAGCGCCACACCGATGTCTGGAAACTTTTTAGGCAAAAGTCTATTATCATGGACTACAGCAATAACGTACCTGACCCAGAAGTGCAACAGGTCCCGTTGCGCTTCTGGGTCAGGTACGTTACCGCTTAGCTACTCAGAGCTTAGCTATCTCGTTCGTAGTCCGTTATTCGGTAAAGATACTCCGTATTAGGACCCAGCTTTAAATCCTTATGCCTGGTACCGTATCACTACGGTACTGTAATAAAGGCTAATATGGAGTAGACTACCTAATCCAACTAGTAGAAGGCTACTAGTGGTACCTAGCACAGTGAAGTGGCTGGCTATCAATTAACCCTTCAGTACTCCGTACCACACAAAGTACTTCTCAGCACCCGGACCAGCCCCCTTGCTCAAGCTACTGCACATTCTCCATGGCACATGCAATATATCTACAAAATCGCCCAAACGGGACTCGCTTGTCGGGACTCATTCGAGAAGTTTCAAACCCTTCTCTACGGTCTTGCCTGCAAAGGGAATACCGGCGTCCATGTCTTACCTCCTTGGGATAATGGGGAAGAGCTTCTGACTTGGACGAGTCACGAACAAACATGGCTAAACTGCTTCTGTGCGACAGGAAACACCAGCTACCCGGGAAGTTTGTCTATTGATGTTACCTGACGCACACGTTTTCCATGGATACCGGCCGATCCTCGTATAGTACAAACGACTTCACGGGCTATGATCAAACACATGGATGCACCCGTATCCAGATCTCCACCAAAAATAGTTCTAACCGTGTCTGATGGGAGATACCAATAGGTACATATACCGGAGCAGCCTCATCAATACAGCAAATCCTGGTCAGAACACTCTTTTTTCATTCCTACCTTTGGTGACTTTGACTTCTCTCGCAGAATGCATTTTCAGAGCTGCCTGGTTACAGCATTGGCTGTGCTCGTCTTCGAGAGCGTTGCCTCTCCACTTGATGACACTCGTCTTCGAGAACGCATTCCTCCAAACATTTGCGACGGGATCAAAGGTGTTGTCGACTCATTGAAGATCAACAAAGCGACAGCTTTCTGTTCGTCCTATCTAAAGATACCAACAGCCACTTCAACTGTGCTCGAGACTGTGACCTCGCCATCGACAACAGTTGCTACCATCACCAGTACCAGGTAAGATTCGACATTCCGATCTCAAATTTCATTGAAACTCACAGAGAGCAGCACAGAGACCATCTCCATTACACCCTCGACTGGACCAGCTTCGTAAGTGAGATCCATGTTACACGCAGAGCAGTACCCACTGACCTCCCGACCAAAAAGCACCTCATACATCTTCCTACCAGGCAACCCGCCATCTACACCACCTCAACGCCGAGAAGTCGAAACACCAGGCCCAGAAAAGCGTGCGGCCGCAGCGGCAGCCCAGAACGCACCACCAAACTATCTCCGCACCAACGCTCCCCCGCCATCATCTCACAGGCCTGCTCCTGCCTCAGCCTGGCCCCCCCAACCACAACAATAACCTCGCGAACCACCACCAACCCCATCTCCACTTCCGTCGCCACCATCATCTCCACCACAACCGTGACAACCACCATCCCACCCGCCGACGCCGCCGTGCAGACCAAGACCGTCTACCCCTGCGCCACCGTGCAATCGGCCGGGACGCTCCCCTCCCCCGCCGCCCGGTCTCGCCAACGGAACCGCGAATTCCATCTACTATCTCTCGGAACCGCAGGGCGCCTCGGCGCTGAGCTGCTGCAACACGTGCTTCTTCGAGGTCGAGTACTGCGTGCAGGCCTTCTGGTATTTTTACCAGGGCTGTGTGGTCATGCAGGCGACCGATTACTCGGGGAGTGGGGTCGGGGCGGGGACGTGTCCCCGAGGGAATATTGACGGGTTAACCTACGGACCGGATAATGGGGGCCCGTTCAGGAGTACGGGGAATATCGCTGGGCCTTGTGGGGTCGAGTACTCGGGTCTCTAGCTTCGGTTTTGGGCAAAATATTGTAGCGAGGGAGAGGGGTGGAGGGGTGCTGGATATGGCGGGCTGGGAGGCTCAGTTGCGTGGCAGAGCAGAGGTGTAGGATAGAATACACGATGGATAGATCAAGTTTACTTGCTGGATAAGCTAGTAATTTCAGGACTCTCTGTTCCTGGCTGACGGCACTATTGTACTGAAGAATCGACTTGCAATACATGGTCCTACGCAAGGATATATATGATCCCAATCCAAAACTCCCAACCTGCATACCGGCAAAACTCATAATCCATGATCCATGATTTTACATGAGAAAGATCTAACTAGAATCTCGTGAGGACCCAGCCCTTCACCAGCGTCAGCGTCAGCATCAGCAGCAGTGACAGCACTAACGTATTGAGAGTGCTAACTTAGTACCAATGCCAGTGCGGTAACGGCCCTCTTCAGGCTCGACTTGGCTTCGAATTTGGCTTTCCTTAAGCTATGATTCCGTTGGTGCGGAAAGTGTGGTTCAGCTTGGATGCGTGGATGTGACTATGTGTGAATGTTGGGGTTGTGGGCCGGGCAGGATTGAAGGATGCGGGAGGCGAAGTTGGGACAGGTTGTTGTTCTTGCGGTGATGGTGGGAGGATGGTGATGGGTGATCGTGAGATGAGGGTGAGGGTTCAGAGGAGGGTGTAGGTGAGTGGCTGATGGGGGCGTCTGTTGTGCTGCTCTTCAAATTAGAGGCATGGTGGTGGTGGTGGTGACCAGATGGAGAGGGAGAGATAGTAGTGGTGTTTGAGGGGAAAAGGACTATTGATGGGACGTGGATGGAAGATATTGGTCTGTATTCCTGGTAGAGTTGGTTCTTGTCAGATCTTTAGCTTTTTCAGTTAGTGTTGGAATTGCTGTTTATATCCATGTCCGATGTAACGAATTACTTGGGGCAGAGTCAAGTCCGGAGACCCTCATGTTAGTGAAGATGTGGTCTAGGCTGTAGTCTCTGTCGTGCTGAGACAAGGAGCGGTACAGGGACCTTGGACGTTGGGATTGGGGTCAAGCAGCATTCATAGGGATAACATTATCACATAGCAAGTAAAGAGATGCAGGACATGTTAGTCTCTGCTTGGGAATTGGTTCGATCAAGGTGGCAAAAAGTGCTTGCTCCAGTATTGCTACTAGAAGCAGAGAGAGGGAGCGATGGAAAATATTGAAAAGAAGAGGGATGGAACAACATGGCATTCTAGCACTATGCTCTCTGTGCTGGTGCCCTGGGGCTCCCCTCGAATCGACTCCTTTCAAGAAATATCGCAAATAGAAGTTCACTTCCTCAGGCTGTAGACAGAGGCAAGGGAAAGAGAAGAAATTGCCCATCACCGATGTCTGAAAGTCTAGCGAGATTGTATGATGGCTCTTGCCATTTCAATGGAGATAGTTGCATACATCATGTCGAGAATCTGGGGTCGTTGGAACGTTCGGTGATAGCTGAATGAATGGTAACCGCTCTGGAACATGAGCATTGGATGTCAGCTGAAAATTCCGGCAGTGTGTGATGCACGCGCACGTCTGTGGTTTTTGTTGTTGTCCGAACCTGCAGGACACCAATATCCAAGTCTAGGCGATCGAGCAATAGGGTATGTGTGGTGGCATGAGTATGCCGGGTATGTGTGATGCTAATCGTAACGAGGTCGCTTGTTTGCAGCTTGACATGGCTCAGCTCCATCCTTACCCGCAGCTCTTGAAAGACGACTCTCAGGGATAGCGTCACGCGGTAGCCATTTGTCGAATGTATGGGTTGACAACGACGAGATGATCAGAGTCAATGGTGACAATACCATCAACAGTGCGGTGAATAGAAGCAAGATTATGATCACCATCTACGCGAACATAAAACCAGAGTGCGTGGCTGGACGTCATGGAAGCCTCCATGATGATTGTGTTTGTCGAATACTCCTCTGGGATTTCAATCGCCACTTTGATCAAGGGGTAATTGCCTCTTGGGAAACTGCCGGCTCCGACGACGACGAAGCGCAATAAAAGGCCGCCCTGGCCGACTTCAGATCGGATGAGAGTCATAGCTTTATGACAGGGAAGCTCATCGCCCGGACCGAAGAGTTCAACAACTCTCTTAGGGCGCATGGTGCTAGGAGTAAGAGCCATTTTGATTGAATAAAAAGGCCTTCCAACGATGACTTGTTTTGTGGTATCCTGGCTACTGCCATAGACGATGCCACGACAAGCTGCTCCTGGGCAGTCGATCGCTCGCACTTCAAGCTGTCTGGACCCTTGCTTCAAAGTATCTTGTAGGCTTTTCACAACCACTGACTTGCAGGAAGCGCCACAAGAGTCGGGAGTAGTGACAAGCACCTCAGCCACTTGAAAGCCATTGCAGCTTTCAAGGCATCGCAACATTGTGTCGAGATTGTAGTTACGAGCAATATGCCTGCAGTTGGACGTGGAATAGTCCGCATCTTGTAACTTCGTAACTCCGCCATCTACAACAACAACAACGCTGCTGATTCGACGACGAGGGTTAAGTGCTTCAACAACAATAATCGAAGAGGGCCAGGTATCGGCTGAAGATAGCATGGACCATTGTAGAGACAGTGGTTCACCAAATCAGCTGCCTGTGGGTAAAAGCGGACATCTTTAAAACCAGCAAGGGTTGCAGCCTCTGCACATGCTTGGACTTCTTCTTACAGAACACGAGTCGCTAATTCTCAAGGCCCATGAAGCAGATTGAAAGGTATGGTTGTATTTGGTTGCGGCGACATGAGTGACCTTGGCCAGCATGAGTGCGATGAGGTCCTCCGGCGACATACACTTGTTGCGATTTGGGATGCGAAGCAGGCAACGATTGTTTTGCTGAACGACTACATGTTTCTCGTTTTTCACATAGGCCTGAATGACCCCACTCGCGAAAAGTTGACCTAGCAGTTGATCGAGATGCCTGAAAGTGTTCTCAGCGTTGGTGTCAAGTTGTCTAGACGCTGACTCTCCAACAAGAATCTCATCGTCCACGAAAGCGACGGTTGTTGGTGTAGCAATTTGGTCGTGTTCGTTAAGAAGCAAGATCGACTTGGAGGTCCTCTTGTCAAATGCAGCCAAGTAGATGTTTCCACCATCGATCTCTATTCCAAGACGGTCATCAAGTTCAATGTCGGGTAAGGTCAGGGCGGCCTCCTGGTAGGAACTGCTGTTGGTAGCCATGCCGTAGAGCGGATGAGATGATGTCCTAGAGATGATATTCTGGACGGATGGAGATCCCGGACGAGAACGTAATGGTGAAAATCTCCTAAGGCAACAGTGTAATCACGGAGATATCAAAGTCGTGGTGGTTGTAGAGATCAAGCGCAGACAAGGTGATCTTGATCTTAGCAATGTGCTGAAAGGGTTTGGATATGTGAGAAAGGGCCTAGTGAATCAAAATCAAGGTTGAAAGGTGTCAGGGATGATTGAATAAAAACAGGAAATGCGATGAAAGGGCAGATTTATGTTCGAAAAGCCAAAGGTGATTTAAATTATGCTGCATTGAGAAAGCATGCGGGAAGAAATTGTATGAGTAAGCAGCGATTCATGTTCACTTCCCTCTTTTGCCCCTCTTAGCAACAATACCTCCACCTCGGCCTCTATTACCTGCGGCAGCTGCAGCGCTGCTTCTTGTTTGAATCCCATAAGACCCGCCCGATCGCTCTACCACATCTATCTCTACTCCTTGATCATCATCGTCCTCCTCCTCCTCGTCATTCTCTCCAGTCATCGTTTCGTGAACTAGCGTGTTAGGACTGTACAGAAACATTTCATCTTGAGGATGGCGATAACCGGGTATCTGTGGGACTGGATACATATCTGGAGGACCTGAGGCAATTCGTGGGCCCGGGGGTACAGCAAATCGAGGATCTCGTGGATCGAATTGAGGCGGTGGAGGTTGATACAAAGGATAAGGTGGTTGGTCGACTGGATAAGGAACGAGGTTCGAAGCAGAGCGTGCTCTGGGTTCCCAGTTAGGATTTGACGGATCAGAGCGAAGGGATGGGTTCGATGGAGGCAGGCCGGCGTAGGCTGTATCAGGGTTCGAAAAATACCGCCCAGCATGGTAGGGATGCTGGTACTGAGGGATGGATGGAGTCTGCTGTTGTGGTTGACGAAGTGATTGAGATGATGCAGTTCGAGATCTAGATTTAGAGCTAGAGCTTCTTGGCCGCTGCGCAGTTCCAGTGTAGTATCCAGGGGGAGCGTAGACCATGGCACCACTGCTTTGGCCATAATCGGGACCGGGGATGGCAGGGTAAGAAGGTCGAGGCTCTTCCTGAGACGAGCTTTTGGCCTTCCGTTTTGGCTCTATGGCCTTCAATGGAGGAGTGCTCGTTGACGGCTTGTCAGTTTTGCTGCGTTTTCGCTCCTGCGCCCGAGGTCGCGTTGTAGCGACCTGTTTACCTTTGACATTTCTGGAAGGATCTGGTTGCTTCTGGATCCGTTCTGCTCGTTCCAAAGCATCAACCTCTGCTTGGCTCAACTTAACATTGGTCTTACCCAGCATCCGGGCACGTCTAATCCGTTCCAGAGCTCGTTCAACCAATAAATCCTCCTTTTCCCTTAGCATGATTTGCATGTTTGGAGCTTGACCATCGTCATCATCATCTTCGGAATAGTCGGAATCCTCGTCATATGCATTGGCTTTCCGTCGCCGCACTCTTGAAGAACCCAGATCCACCCCGGTGAAATGAAGCTCATCCGAAACGTGTCTTCGCTGCGAGACCGCCAGCTCTAATTCAACGCCTTGCCCAGCGTCGTCGTCATCAGAATCTTCTATCTCTTCAACCCACGACTGTTGGCCCCCCCATCCCCTGTGGTTCTTCCTCCCCGGACGTCCCCCTGGTGGTCTTCCCCATGGGGGCATATCGTATGGAGTTCGCGGCCGACCACCTAGACCGCCTCCTCGGAAAAAGCATTCTCTATCGGTCTATCCATGAATGAAGCATGACCAAGGATGCTGACTCCAGTTGCTCCAATGAGCCATAGGACTGTTGATATGGGTGATGCCCAGATCCCCAGCGGCACCGAGACGATCAACAGACCGGTGTAGAGCTGTGATGAAGATGCCCTGAACCCGAAAAGGTCGAGATCTCTTCCATCCAGTTTACCAATTCCCCACATGCCCCCCACGACAAGTATGATGACGAAGAGCAACAGAAGGTTTGTCAGCAAGCTATATATGCTGAGCATGACAAAGACGACTGCATAATTGCTAGAGAAGTAGCTCAGGTTGTAGTTGACTCTGGTTTGGACGTCACCGAAATTCGCAGGTTTAGACAGTCTTTTCAGATCCAGAAACTCGGAGATAGGCTTGAGGTTGGCGAATCTTGTTCCTAGCGACTGTGCCCTGACGCTGGCAAAGCGATCACCAAGATTGAGGCGAGAGGTAAGGGCATCGAGGGGTATGCTGAGACGGGCCATGTTGAGAAGGAAGCAGTTTGTGGAGTGAAGACTTTTGGCTGGTAAAAGGGCTGGAGAGAAGCGGTGACTGGTGCTGATGCAGGGAAATATCAGTTCTGAAGTACGCGGGAAAATAGGCAGCTGGATTGAGCCCGGATGGGTGTCCACGTAACACTTCTGAGGATTTGGGTACACTCACAGAATAGGTTGACGAAGACAGGCGGGACAGTTAAAGGTGCTCGTATTATTGTATTATTGTGTTGCTGCGTTGTTGTGTTCGTGGATGGCGAAGGCTCAGAATAGAACTCAAGGGGCTGGAGCACCTTTGCTGAGCCTGGAACCTTGTTGGACCTTTCAACCTCCAGGAGTCAAGGTACTGTAGAATTCGGCGACCACACCTCTTCTGGTCTAGGCAGGAACAGGTTGACAGTTCGGGCTGCAGCAGAAAGTGAAACTCCAACTGACAGCGGCCGGCCCTCGCCCCTCTCTCTCTCTCTTCTCCTGTGCGGAACAGGAGACTTCAAGGTATCATCTTGGAGACCAAAGCAGAAGAGAAGCTGAGGTTGGAGAAGGAGAAGGAGAAGAGAAGAGAAGAGAACAAAGAAGCAGCAAGCGGTGTGGGGAAAAGTGACAGCTTCTTGTATTTACGCGAGTCTTTTTTTGTGGAGAAGCTGCTCTACTGCTGCACACTTTTCTCTTCACAGCCTTACCGAGCAGGCGACTTTCCCCTCTGATTGGTCCACGTACAAACCACTGCTACCATTTCTTCTTCGTCACACTACGGAGTACATCCCACCTGCAACTCACCCATCGGGCATCAAAGATGAAGTCTACTGTCCTTTTGGTGCTCTACGCCTTGATTGCCCTGGCCGCAGCTTGGTCAAAGGAAGGTGAGTGCCCGCGTATATGACTTCGAGCTGGCCGAACTGAGCGATGCATGTGTGACAGATTATGAGATCTTTCGTCTCAGAGATGAGGTCGTTCTGAGTGAAGGTCCCGACGTCACCTTCTACGATTTTCTCGGCGTCAAACCGTCTGCCTCACAGATTGAACTCCAGAAAGCCCTGAAGAAAAGATCACGAACACTTCACCCGGACAAAATCAAGCAGCAATTCATAGCAGCTCGATCAACCATCAAGCCTAAGCAGAAAGGCGACAAGAAATCTCCCGGAGTGCATGTCTCTAAGGGCCCATCCGAGAAAGAAGTCAAGAATGCCTACAAAGAAGCCACCGAGAGATATGCCCGGCTCGGGGTAGTGGCCAAGATACTGCAAGGCGAGAACCGTGAACGATATGATTACTTTCTCGCCAATGGTTTTCCCAAGTGGAGAGGCACTGGCTACTATTATGCCAGGTTCAGACCAGGGCTAGGCAGCGTGCTGGTTGGACTCTTTCTTGTCCTGGGCGGAGGAGCACATTACGGAGCTCTCGTCGTAGGATGGAAACGTCAACGAGACTTCATCGATAGATACATTCGGCAAGCAAGACGGACTGCATGGGGTGACGAGACCGGTATCCGTGGTATACCTGGTGTTGATAGCACGAGCGCTCCTGTCCCTGCTACGACAGAGGAGCCTGAGAGCATGATGCAAATGAACAGAAGGCAGAAGCGGCAGCTTGAGAAAGAGAATAAAAAGGACAAGTCGGGTAAAGGCAAGACGGCAAGCAAACCCTCTGGTATGCAAACACCAAATCGAGAGGCTGGGCCGACCGGCGAGAAGAAGCGCGTCGTAGCCGACAACGGAAAGATCTTGATCGTCGATGCAGTTGGCAACGTCTATCTTGAAGAAGAAGACGAAGATGGTAACAACCAAGAATTTCTGCTGGACCCCAACGAGATCCCGAAGCCGACGCTCAAGGACACAGCACTATTCAAGTTCCCGGCATGGACTTACCACAAGATCACCAGCCGCATCAGGAAACCCGCTCAGACGTCAGAGGAAGACGACAGTCCAGCCTTGGAGGTATCCGACCCTAGCCAAGAGCAAGATCAAGATCCAGGCTCAAGCTTCGAGGTGATTGGCAATGACAGCCCAGTTGATGCCATGGCGCAAGCGAACGCATCGTCCAGGAAGCGAAACCGGAAGAACAAGAGTTGACGACGCTTGTAACAGTATTCAGCATGGTTAAGGGTGCGAAGGCTGTGGTGCAATGATGGCTTTACCGGCTCAAAGAAAAAGTGCATTCTTACATTGCCAACGGTGCTACGGATGGGGCGCAGCGAGGACTCACTGCTCAATGGCGACGGTTTGTGCTTTACATTGCTTGCGGTGCTATGGTTGTCATGAGCAATGGGTTACGCACGTAAAGGAAAAGTCTATTCTTAGAGTGCTAGCGATGATATGGCTGTGATTGAGCAATGGATTACAAACTCAGACCCAACTCCATATTAGAGATACCCGAAAAAAGAAAGATATTTCACCAAAGTGATGGCCCTTGAAACCTGATCTTTGGAGTAGGACACCTCCAGGCGTAACATGCAAACTCAGTGTAATATTCAACGCCCGCGATACTACCTTTGAGAGGCTCTCACACGCCTACGCCTACGCCTATAGTCGGAAGAACGAGCAGCAAGCCAAAACAACCGTTGAAACCCCCCGGACCTAGAACCCTTCCCCTACGTCGCCCCGCTAGTCACAGTAGTAAAGACCTTGCCGGCCAACTCACTCAACAGCCTCGCCTTATCCGCCTGCGGCAACTCCTGAAAGACGGCGTACACCGACTTCCCCCTCGCATCGCGGACGGCACCCAAGCGGTTCCCCGCCACCGCTCCAGCGAGCGCGCCGGGGAAATTCGCCACGATGAAGCCCATCGCCCCGCCCGATAAGCCGCCGACCATGGACCAGAACTTGCCGGTGGGTTGCGCGTCATGGCCCTCGGCCAATCCTTCTTCGCGCAGCATCTCCTCGAACACGGAGCCGAATTGCTCGTTGGAGAAGTGGTCTTGTTCCGTC